TTGTCTATACAGTGCAGTTTAGCACTCCACTACCCACCTGGCTCTCAATGTTTCCTATTTATACTTTTAGTCGCAAGATTAAAATAGAAATAAGTAGAACTATGTCTAATCACAACTCAGTGCCCTCTACTGCAGGGTCTTATGGGCCATTTGAGCCAATCACCTCTTTTTACAGAAGTCACTAGGCACCAGTCATTCTCAAAAAAGATTACTAAGAAACTGAGCTTGGATTTTGAGAGTGTTGAGTTAGAAAGACAAAAATTGGAGAACCATGTTTGAAATTCTTAAGTAAATAAGGAGAGAGCCATTGCATTAGGCTCTGGAGATAAGAAGATAAAAAAGTTCTTGTTGTTTTCAAGTAGGGCATGGTTCACCTGATGACAATGCTGAGTGTTGAGTCCTACAGCAGAGAATGGAAAAGATTCATGTTCTTATGGGATGGACAAGGGCAAGTTAAGAGTGGGAAGGAACCAACTGGGCCACAAGACCAGGAAACAGTCTGTGTGTCAGGGAACTAAGAATGTGTGGGTGAAGATGACAGTATTCCAGGAGGTTGGGATCAAGCTATAAAGGGCAGTGCTAGGAAATTTGGACTTGATCTTGAAGACAATAGGAGATAAGTATATATATTTATTCATAAAAATACATCTTTTAGTGAGAACAATTGATTTTAGTCTCTTAGCAAATTTCAATAATGCAATACAAGTATTATCAACTATATCAGCCTTTCAAAAAAAAAAAAAAAATAATAATAATACTGACTTTTGGAAACAGCCAGAACTCCAACCTGGTGAATAAATTAGGAAATAAAAGTAGGCAATGTATTTTTGTTTTACATTTATTAAATAACTAAAAGAACTTCACAAGCTGATTTAGACCAAAAGTAAGGAAAAAGCAATACAATTAAATTAAGAACAAGATGGTTTTTAAAGTAAACTTTTGGGAGTAGGAGATTTTTTTTTTTAATCCTTACCGAAGGATATCCCCCCCCCTCCCCATTTATCATCAGATAGAGTGGGAGGGGGAGAGAGAGAGAGAGAGCGAGAGAAAGAAAGAAACATCAATTTGAGAGAGACACATTGACTGGTTGCCTCCTGCATGACCCGACCAGGCCAGGGCTAAACCACAACTGAGGTATGTGCCCTTGACTGGAATCGAACCCGAGACTCATTGGTCCATGAGCCGATGCTCTAAATGATGAGCCAAACTGGCCAAGGCAAGGAGAAAGAGATTCTTAAAGATGAATTTAAAATGTTTTGAGGAATGGATGCCCAGCCAGTGTGGCCCAGTGGTTAACCGAGCATGGACCCATGCACCAAGAGGTCACAAGTTTGATTCCTGGTCAGGGCATATGCCCAGGTTGTGGGCCTGATCCACAGTGGGGGGCATGCAGGAGGCGACTGATCAATGTTCTCTCTCATTGATGTTTCTATTTCTCTCTCCCTCTCCCTTCTTCTCCCCCTAAAATCAATAAAAAAAGAAAAAAAAGAAGAAAAAATGTTTTGAGGAACGGTATTATTTTATGAAGGTATAATCTTTTAAGTATTAAGAAAAACTCTAGGAAATAAAAGATTTTTAACAATATACCATAGTTTAAACATTGCATATTGTCATCATTCATCAAAATTACACTGAAACCCAGTTGTAGGATGGAAAAGTTTTTACTGTCATCAAAAAAGAAAATCTGTTACCAAGTGTTTTTTCATTAATGATTAATATAGAGGGTTTTCAATCATAAAGTGGAATTAAATATTTACAAATCTTACTTGTCTGAGCAACAGAGCATTTTGAAGACTGTTGTTGTCAACCTTAGTTACTTGTTAAAATGCAGATTTTCAGGCCCCACTCCAGAGATTCTAACTCATGAGGCAGTTGAGGACCTGGAATCTGTATACTTTACATTCACCCCCCACGTGATTCTTCAACATTTCGTGACACACTTTGAAAAACTGTTAAGATTTCTGGTCAAGATGGTAGCATAGGTAAATGTGGTACTTGAAGCCTCCCACAACCACGTCAAAATTACAATTAAACTACAGAAGAAACATCATTCAGAACTGCCTGAAATCGAGCTGAGTGGAAGTCCTACAACTAGGTTTTAAAAAGTCCACATTTATGTGGTAGGAAGGACAGAGATGCAGAATGAGCTAGTCCCAAACCCATATGTGGTGGTTTAAAATCTGTAGGAATAACTCAGCTGCGGAGGTCCCCCCTGAGGAGCAATGGGGTCCCAGAACTACACCAGGCTCCCCAGCTCAGGGTTCCAGAGCCAGAACTTCTGGCTGTAAAAACCACTGGGGACTGTGACTGAGTGAAAGGAGGGCAGTTCCTCTTAAAGGGCCCACACACAGACTTGCTCAGACTCCTTCCCTCTGAGCTCCAGTGCTAGGGTAGCAGTTTGAAAGAAATTAAAGACATATGGGGAGGAACCGAATTGTTTGGCATCAGGGTGAGAACTGGGCAGCAGGCAGCTTTCTGCCAGACAAAAGTGCTGGCAGAGCCCATTATTCCTTTTCTGAGACACTGTCCCCATCCACAGAGCTGGCAGGCGGGTGCCATGTCTGAGTCTTCATCAACGTGACTCACACTGTTCGCCTGCCCTGGTAATTCCCTGAGATCCTTGACCCACCCAGCTTGTGAGCCCACCCAACCCATTTTTAGTGGCTTTTCCATACAAATGGCCTCTCTTATCTCATGCTTCGAACTGTCCTAAAATCTCTCAAATAAGAAGCAGCTCACGTCTGTATTCCTATACCTCTTACTAAGTGGCTCCAGGCCTGGCACTAGCAGCATTGGCCTTGGTTTGCAGCTTGTCCTCTCCTGGGCACCTCTAAACCCAGTACAAGTAGCACCCATCTGCAGATTGCCCTATAGCTCATGCGAGTAGCCCTGGGCAAGGCACAGGTGGTGAATGACCTTTCATCTCCTGGGAGGTCCCAGAGCTAGAACACCCAGTGGACAGTGTCAGATCACACAAGATTACAACCTTACCACCTCCATGAGTGACACACTCAAGGGGCAGACTTGGTGAGCACCAAAGCCCTACGGAAGCAAGTCCTCCTCCATAGGGCTGACTCCTGTACAGCGGCTCCTCTGCTATAGTCATGGCTGATCCTTGAAGCTGAGCAGCCTCCCCCAATGACACCAATAGTAATCAAGGTTCAATTATAATAGGACAGTGCATACAGCGTACATAGGGGCACACCTCTAGTGATTAACTCAAGTGACTGGGAAGGCCATGCCACTGGGCCCTACAGGACACCTACTATACAAGGTCACTCTACCAAGTCCAGGAGATGTAGCAGCTCTTCCTAATGCACAGAAACAAATACAGGAAAAGAGACAAAATGTGGAGACAAAGAAACAGGTCCCAAATGAAAGAGCAGGAGAAATATCCAGAAAAAGAACCAAATAAAATGGAGGCAAGCAAACTATCAGATACCAAGTTCAAACTAATGGTTATAAGGACGCTCAAGGAATTTAGTGAGAATGTCAAGGAATTTAGAATTCAACAGCATGAAAAAGGACATAGACATGATAAAAAAAGAACCAGTCAGAAATGAAGGATACACTAAGTAAAATGAAAAATAATTTACAGGGAATCAACAGTGGAGTAGATGAAACCAAGAATTAAATCAACAATTTGAAATATAAAAAAGAAGGAAAAAAAAAAACCCAACCCAGTCAGAACAGGAAAAAGAAAAAAGAATCCAAAAAAATGAGGATAGTGTAAGGAGCCTCTGGGACAACTTCAAGCGTGCCAACATTCGCATCTTGGGGGTGCTGGAGTGAGAAGAGAGTAAGAAATTGAACACCTATTTTAAAAAATAATGACAAGAAACTTCCCTAACTTGGTGAAGGAAATAGATATACAGGAAGTGCAGAGTCCCAAAAAAGATGAACTCAAGACACATCATAATTAAAATGCAAACAGTTATAGACAAAGTGAATATTTTAAAAGCAACAAGGGAAGAACAGTTACTTATCTACAAGGGAGCTTCCATAAGACTCAGCTGATTTCTCAACAGAAACTTTGCAGGCCAGAAGGGAGTGGCAAGAAATGTTCAGTGATAAAAAGCAAGGACCTACAACCAAGATTACTCTATCTAGCAAAGCTATCATTTAGAATTAAAGAACATATAAAGAGCTTCCCTGACAAGAAAAAGTTAAAGTTTATCACCACCAAACCAGCATTATATAAAATGTTAAAGTGTCTTTTTTAAGAAGAAAAAAATATAAACAATATAATGGCAATAAATACATATCTATCAACAATTGAATCTAAAGAACAAAATAAATGAACAAGCAGAACAGAAACAGACATAGACACAGAACATTTTGATGTTTGCCACATGGGAGGGGATTGAGGGAGTGGGTGAAAGAGGCCAAGGGATTAAGACATACAAATTGATTGTTACAGAATAGTCATGGGGATATAAAGCGCATCATAGGGAATATAGTCAATAATATTGTAATAATTTTGTATGGTGTCAGATGGGTACAAGATTTATTGGAGTAATCACTTAGTACTTTATATAATGTCTAATCATTGGGGCGTACAACTGAAACTAATATAATATTGTATGTCAACTGTAATTGAAAAATAAAAAATAATTTAAAAAGAAGAAAGAAAAACTGTTTAACCGCCAAAGAAAAAAAGGGCAGGAAGAATTGTGTGGTCATTTAATCATCGTATGCAAAACAATTCCTGACAATTCCAGATCATAAACAGAAACACATTCTGTCAGCTACTCCACAGAGTGGCCTCCTTCCTCTTTAGTCAACGTTTCAGGTCTGCTGACTGGCAGGGAGCAGAGTGCAAATTTATGACTTTTGAATTTATTTCCGGAAATGATCTGGAGCAAAATATTACCCTTTTCATAGCAAATTCATTCATGAAGGCCTAACAACACAGATGTAGAGTGAAAATAAATGATTAGGGAAAGACCCAGAAAGAAGGAAAGTGCCCGGTGATGGGAGGGGCCAGAGGCAGTACTCACAGAGATCGGAGGCTAAGCAGCTGCTGGAAAGTGTCGGCCTTAATTTCATAGATTTCATTATGTCGCAGGTCTCTGAAATAAGAGAGTTCCAAAGATTGATTTCAAAGTCACTGGTTTCAAAGATTAGTCTTCAGAGAACTTTTACAGAGAGATTACCTGCCCTCAATCAAAGAAACACATGAAATGTGACTTTCAAGTGACCGTTAAAATTTTTTTGTTCTGTTTAAAAAAGAACATTACAGTTTATACACTTAAACAAATATTGTTGCTCTCTCCTTCAAAGCAGCTCATTCCTTTAGGTGAACATAAAATTATGTTCCAAATGCCATCTTCATTCAAACTCTGTGAGGGTGCCTCTCCTGGTTCTGCCTTCTGAGCCTTTGTTGTATTTGAGGGTCTTCAGGAGTTTCAGATCTACCTTTCAAAGATAGATTATTTTTTTCTCCCTTAGTTGCCCAAAAAAGTAATTAAGTGGGAAAATTAAATGGGAAAGGATAAATGGTTAATATTGTTTTGACCACATCCAAAGTATGACTATAAAGAAATAAGGCTGATATTTTATGGAGCTGGCAATTTTAAGAGAGGAATTCTAAAATGTGTCATGTGTAAGGAGCATCAATGGCATCTCAAATATGACAAATGAGGCTCCTCTTCTAAAGATGACTATTGTGAAACAAACATTCCAACAAACTCAAGTCCCCCATATTAAAAAACAATACCACTTTTCGGATATGTAACTTTAGCAAAATCCCAAAGCTCAAACAACCCTACTTCATTATTACACTAAGTTCAGGGTGAAAAAGAGGAAATATTAAATATTTTACTTATTGTACAAAGCATGGTAAAATAGTGTTATCTGTATTTCCCAACCTTATAGCCAATCTATACAGTCACATGTTGTGTGTGTAAGAAGGAAACACATCAAATGTCTTCCAGTGAACCACAGGGCAGGCAAATCAATGAGCCTTGGAAATGTGAGTGTGGGCTCTTAGTCTTTGCTAAGTGACTTAGAGACTTTATGGACGTACATTTTCTGAATCTTTTGGCAGACTGAAAAACTGGGCAAATCTTCCAGCAGGTTGTAAGATAGATCTCTGAAAAACAGAAGGTACACAAGGGAAAGTCTGTTACATATTAATCGTAAGGAAACATACTTTGCTCCCCTTTACCCTACAAGATGATGTATCTCCCAAAGGCCGACACTGAACATTTCTCCAGCCTGACATGGAGCAGGTAGTCACCAGTATTATTGGATTAAGCAGAAGATTCAAACATTTACTAAAATGTAACTGTTATACTTCTTTAATTGATTTAAATAATTTACTTAATGAATTTATTTATATTTTGTTAGTGATGATCTACAATGTTCTAGCTATTATCTTACTGAAATGAGTACAAATCAAATTAAATAATTTTACCTCTGTTTCTAAGAGCTGCTATATTTCTACAGCTAAATGAATCACTGTGGGTTCTTTTCTAATTAACTAAAATAAAACACCCAACAACAATTCAAAACATAGCATTAACTTTGAAATCAATCACTACAGGAAGAGGGGGGTGGAAATCTAAGAAAGTCTTCAGCCAAAACTCAACAAATTACAGAATAACAAAACCATCTGGATATATTTAGAGTAAAATATAACTAATCTAAAACAAGCCATGGTAATTTGCAGAAAGCTTAAAAAAAGAAAGCTTGGTAGATAAAGTTTTAAACACACACACACAGATATGTATATGTATATATATTTAACTTGTCTCATATTTTAGAAGTTATTAGCTAACCAGCTAACATGTTTTCATGCCTGATTTTAATTCTTAAAACCAGATCACCACTATGCAACTAAAAAAGTCAGTACTGTTTCCTAAGAGGCTTTTAAGTTATTTTATTCTTTTTTATTTAAAACAAATTTTTTGGTTTTTTTTGTCCTCACCTGAGGACATTTTTGCATTTATCTTCAGACAGAGCGGGAGGGAGGAAGGGGGGAAGAGAGAGAGAGAAACATCGATGTGAGAGAGACACATCGAGTGGTTGCCACCCACACAACCTCAACCAGACTGGGGACAAACTGCAACCGAGGTACTTGCCCTTAGTGGGAACTGAACCCGGGACTCTACGGTCCACAGGCTGACGCTCTAACTGCTGAGCCAAACTGGTCAAGGCTGTTTTCTTTATTGACTTTAGAGAGAGAGGAAGAGAGAAGGAGATAGAAACATCAATGAGAGAGAACATTGATTGGCCGCCTCCTGCTTGTCCCCCATTGGGGATCAGGCCCACAACCTGGGCATGTGCCCTGACTGGGAATCAAATCAAATCGGCAACCTCTTGGTGCTTGGGTCGACACTCAACCACTGAACCACACTGGCCAGGCAGTTATTTTATTCTTTAATAGATTACTTTATCCTACAGTTATAGAAAAATTGGATTTATATAAAAATACAATTAATTTATTCCACATAATAAATAGTTCAGATAAAGCTGTTTGCAAACACAAATTTGCGATTTATACTAGAGGTTTCAAAGACCAAACCAAATATAAAACAAAATAACAAAACAATACCTCCTACCTATACACAAACGTACCTGAATTACGGTATATAATTTTGAAAAGTGAGTAAAATAAAACGGACACAGGTGTTATCAAAGCTGAAAATAATGTAGTTCACTCATCTCCACAGACTTCAAGGGGACAAATCCTTCCTGTGTACCTCTTAGTAGAGGTATGTAAAACCTTCTACATAAAGACACAGTATCACCTCCTACCTCACTTCTACCTAATGATTTTCATGGTTAACACTGAGCAAGAACTTCTTATATACAGATACCATGTTTACAGCTATTTCATTCAATCCTTGTGGTCACTTTATGAGAGAGACACTGATTACCCCCATGCAATGTGAAATGACTTGTCTAAGATCACCAGCTGGTAAGTGGGGAAAGCCACACACAGCCAAGTAAGTCCTGTGGGGACAAAGCAACTTGGGGGCAAAGCCACCCAGGGACAATGAAATTTCCTCATGTAACAGAGACCCAGCGGATGATTCAGCTGCAGGGACAGCTCTCAGATCCCTACTTCTAGAATCTAGACTGTAGTAGAGGTGAGGACCCTGAGTTCTATTCTCAACTTCAACTCCTGGTACCTGGTTCACTGGCCAAAGCATCGGTATCTTCTCTCCTTCAACGAGAATACCTGATTTGCTGATGTTGCAGAGGTATTGTGAAGAACAAAGCAATAGTGTAGTGAAGTGCTTTGAAAATGGCAAGATACTGCCATTGGTGCATTTGTGTTTTTCAAGCCCTTCTGAGAAAAGAATAATGGTATAAAGGAAGCGAGAAACAAGACGATGAGTTAACACTGCCTGAGAGTTTACAATGTCCCCAGTGCTGGTACAAGTATTTGCAGGTAGTTACTCATTTAACCCTCATGATGATCCTCTGAAGGAAGTAATTAATTACACCTCTATAGGCTGAGAAACAGAGCTGAGAAGTAATAAACAACTTGCTCAAGACACTCTGCTGGCCCTGGTCAGTTTGGTTCAGTGGTTAGAGCATCGGCCCATGGACTGAAGGGTCGCATATTTGATTCTCAGTCAAGGGCACGTACCTGGATTGCAGGTTCGATCCCTGGCCTTGGTCAGGGTTGTGTGAGAGGCAACCAATTGATGGGTCTCTCTCACATCAATGTTTCTCTCTCTCTCTCTCTCTCTCTCTCTCTCTCCCTCCCACTCTGTCTAAAGATCAATGGAAAAATATCCTTGGGTGAGGATTAACAAAAAACAAAAACAAAAAACACTGCGCTGGTACATAGAGAGACAGGACTTGAACATGAAAAACAGACCCCAGAGCCTTTATTCATAACCAGTTTATCAGTCAGCCTCCATTTATGCAGTTCTAGACCTGGTGGTTTACCATTTACTGTGACATGGTGGAGACAGATGCAGTTTAAATATTGGCTCCTTACTTATTAATTATGGGATGTAAAGTCCTAGTCACGCTATTGAGCCAGTTTCCTCAAGAAATGAGGCTAATTATACTTACTCTGGGTGCGGTAGGCAGAATGCTAAGATAGCCCCAGGGTTTCCACCACCTGCTGTTCAGACACTTTTGCTCAGTTATTCGATCAAACTGCTTGTATTTAAAATTTGGACTCTGCTACTTTCTTTCAGTGACTTTGACAAATGCACTTAACACCCTTAATCCTCAGTTTTCGCATTTGTATCTACACATCCCAGGGCAATATGGGGTGAGGAAGAGGAGACTAACTCTGTCCCTTTCCTTCCAACGTGGGTGCCTGACTCTAAGGCTGTCACGTGGTGAGTGCAACCCCTCATCACTGAGCAGCTGTGGTCCCACGTGACAGCGGGCTGGCGAAGGGGAGGCACCACGGCGGCCCTTCCCATTCTTCCACTTCGCATGTGTAACCCGCTTGGAGTTCTGCTACTAGGTAAAGCCCAGGGTGCAGTTACAGGCCTTCAGCAGCTGCAGAGGTCTGCTCAGGAGAACAGAGCCCTGGCAAACGGCGAAGGGTCCTTTCATTCCGTCCCAACAATGCTCGAGAGGACGATTACAGAGCTGAGTGGGATTTGAGAGAGAGGGCTGAGAATGGAAGGTCAAAGCAAGGCTCTTTCAGTTCCTATAAACTACTTTTCATAAAACATAAGACAGGCAGAGAGAAAGAAGGAATATATGCAAACAGTTTAACCATTAGAGGAAGCATCAGAACATGGCACCTGCAACCATACCGGAAGAATCTTTATCAAGGTTTGTCGCTCATCTGTCAGCTCAATTTTTCATGTTGGCATCCATAGTGGGTTTTAAATCTATTTTGCTATTTTTTTCTTCTTCTGCTCTACAAAGGCTTTGGGGGGGGGGGATGAAGTTATGTGGGCTTGTTCATATCCATGTTCTGAAAGGAAATGTGTGCCAGTTGGAACTCCAGTGGGAGACCGTCTGGAGTTTGGACCCAAAGGGGCAATGCCATCACGCCAGGATCTGCCCAGAGCCACTGCCTGGCCCAGAGCGGCAGAGGAGGCCTGACCTGCTGGAGCCTTGCAAGGAGACAGCGTTCTCCCCTTTTAAAGGACCCCAAATGGAAGCTACTGTTCACACAACGTCACTGCCTCACTGATACGCACAGCATTTGGAGGTCAGGTGACTGATCACACACGGTCTGAGGAAGAGATGAGATCTGTGCTCCAGTCAAAGTCCTGTCGAAACACAAACCAGACATAGTTCTTTTATTTAGGCATCCCAGAGTGACATATTTTGACTCCCTGACATTGAGACTGGTCAGGCTTTAAAAACAGTGCCTGTTCTGGTCAAAGTCAAGAGACTTCTCAAGCACTTACAGACTCTCCAGGCTCGCTGTCCCAGTTAAGTCCGGAAACTCAGTTATTTGTGAGGCACCATTCAAAGTCCTAGAAGGAGGGGTACACGAGTATTGTTGGGAGAAGATTCCGGAAAATGGTGATTTTTATTCCCATTTTCAAAGCACTTCAACTGATAGTATTCGTTTGGTTTTTATAGCAACCCTACAAGGGGAAAGGGGTATGTAAGAGAAAAACTTACAGTGTTCTTAGCTCAGGTAAATGTTGAAAAGCGGATCTTCCAACCAGCTGGATGGGGTTGTCATAGAAATGTCTGAAACAAATCCAAACAGCAATGTCTTTTTATGTTTGTTTGTTTTTTGTTGTTTTTTTACGCTCACCCAAGGACTTTTTTCCCCCATTTTTGTTTAGATAGAGTGGGAAGGAGAGAGAGAGGATAAGAGAGAAAGAGAGAGAAACATCGACGTGAAAGGGACACATCGAGTGGCTGCCTCCCGCATGACCCCAACCAGGGCCAGGGATGAATCGCAACCAAGGTACATGCCCTTAATCAGAATTGAACCCGTGACTCATTGGTCCGTGGGCTGATGCTCTAACCACTGAGCCAAACTGGCCAGGACCAAACACCAATGTCTTAGTATAAAACTTGAGTGGCAAATGAGTACTCGTTCAAAATTTCAACAAGTACATTAAACGTATTTACGTAATTTTCATTATACTATATTACATAACATTCCTGATCACATGGTTTCTGGCAAACCTCAGAAGTATTTTAACTCATATTACGAGACTTTTGGTAAGAAATCCATGCTATATAAAATCGAAAATTTCTGACAGCAACGCAAATATGAATGATAGTTACTAAGGAGAAAAGCAAGTGAACTGTTGTTACTGCTTTAAAATCTTCCCCTGCACATGGAAGTAGGGAACCCTGACAAACCTCAGAGGGAAGGGGGTGGGGATGTTGGGAAGAGATGAACCAAAGGGCTTATATGCACATACGCACAACCAATGGACACAGACATTAGGTGGGGAGAGCAGGAGGAGGTGAGGGCAGGGAGGAGGGGCAATGGGGGGAAAAGCGGGAACTTTCAGCAATAAAGATAAAAAAAATCTTTCTCTGCCTCCAACATTTGTGGACTATGCATTGAATGGCAAAGTGGTAATCCAAGGTGCTGGCAAGCATATCATTAATTAAAGAAAGGTGAAGGTCTATATATCTACATGAAGATGATATCCTCTGGACAAATCTTATCATAACACACAAAAGGGACTCCTCAAATTATTTGAGAAGAAATGAGCTATTCTGGTTTTTCTTTTATAATGTCAGAATTTTTTGGAATTAATTATCGCTTTAAAAGGTGAGACGTTATTAGAGCTTAAAAAATATTTTGTTTTACAGATGTTTTCAATGTCGCAGTGGTATTTGCACTGCCTGGTCAATGGGGCCCCAGAAATACTTCTGAGATGAGACATCTTTCTAGTTCAATGAAACTCAACAAATATTTATTGGTATCCACTATGCTCAGAGTATGAGGGTAGCTGCTGCAGGGACTGAGACCGATCCATTAACGGGGCTGTCATTGGGTAGCTACCAGATGCCTGGCATTATGCTGCATGCTAGGGGTGTGAAGGAGAATGATTACATATTTCTGCTTTAAAGAAGCTTGGAATCAGTTGGGATAAAACAAATACATAAGATTATATCACGTTCACCCCAAAAGTTGGTTGGAGCATCATCCTGTACACCTAAAAAGTTGTGATCCTTGGTCAGGGCACGTACAGGAGGCAACTGATCGATGTTTCTCTCTCACATTGATGTTTTTCTCTCTCTATATATATATCCCGTCTTCTCTCTCTAAAGTCGATAAAAACATATCCTCAGGTGAGGAGGAAAAAGTTGTTTTTTTTTTTTTAAAGATTATATCACTCTGTAGTTGACAAAGCATTTTCAAATGGATCTATCCAACAATTTAATAAAATCCATAGCATAGACACTTAAATACTATTTTCCTTATTTCCAGAGGAAGAAACTGAGGCTCAGATACTTTAGCGAGTTTATTACCACCTAGAGCTTCAATTTTCTAATTTGTTGCGCTGGGAAAATGATGGTTGTAGGGTCTGGGTATGCATTGGTGGAGCCGCTGCACGCGTAACGCCCGGCACAGTGCCTGGGGTACAGCTGTCACCCAACACACCTAAGTCCCCTTCTGTGCTTCTGCACCCTGACCTCTTCTTTTCCCTTGCATTAAATAATCTGCGAGAGAGAGCTAGAGCTGGGACATAGGCATGAGCATTAAAAAATGGAGTTTCCCTCATAATATTATATTCCTCTTTGTCTCCACTATATGCTTATATGTTCATATGTGTGCACACTGGGCAGATATAATGCACGCGCTTGTATACATCAGGCAGAGGTATCATAAATACAAGTAAGGAGCTATAGGGTTCTCAGAAAGGAGTACTCTCATGAGCTCAGGAAACACTTCATGGAACTGTCATTTGAAATGGACGCTGGAGTCCACGGCCATACCACCCTGAAAGTGCCCGATCTCGTTATGAAATGGACCCTGGAGAAGAAAACGTCCATAAGTACAGGGAAGAGATAGAATCACAGGAGCAAAGGAAAGAGGGAAAGAGATTCATTCTATGAATTTAGCTTAGTTGGTCAGGGTTAGGCGAAGGGTAATTGAGTTGAGCTTTGGTGAACTGATCGGGAGGTTTGGCTTGGGCCATGTAGAAGGCTGTTGATGTCAGGTAAGGAGTGTGATTTAATGTAAATAAGCAATCCTGATCTCTGTATGTTTCACAGCAACAGAGTGACAATACGATGTTATGTTTCGAGAGAGATGATCCTGCCCTGGCCGGTTTGGCTCAGGGGTTGGAGCATTGGCCTGTGGACCAGAGTCCTGGGTTCAGTTCCCACTAGGGGCATGTATCAATAAAAAAAAAAAAAAAAAAAAGAGAGAGAGAGAGAAAGAGATAACCCTGCCAGTGGTGGGGGTGGGGAGATGAGCCTTAGATGAATCAGACTCTAGAGGCAATGGCTAGCAGAGAGGCTGATGGCAGCTGGAATAGGAAGTTAGGCACAGGATGGGGAACAGAGGTAGAAATGAGGCCTGGGTAGCCAATGGACACAGGAGGCCTTCGCCTTCACAGAAAGTGGGAATCGTGGAGGGGGGGGCACAAAGGGGGGTGGCAATGACAAGAGATGAAAACAGAGGCAGAAGCAAGGAGAGGGGAATTTAGTCAACATCAAATATTGGATAGAAGCACTAATAATTTTGGGGGCTGTTATCCTTCTTAAGCCGTATTAGCATATAAAAAGAGTGGCTTAAAAAACTAGTCCTGCTGCTGCTAGGAAAAAGAAGCAAAGGCAATGCAATTTGCCAACCTCTTACTATGTAAATACTCTCTAATGAGGACTAATATTTATTGGCAGTAAACTTTAAAACCCTTAGTTTTCCAACAGACTGTCAGAACGCTTCAGGAATGATGAATGGTATTTTTTTCAGTTGTCAGGGCTAATTGGGGCTCCAGCTCATTTGTGACAACTGCGACAGTCCCAGAAAGCCGCTCGATCAAGCTGGCACAGGACGGATATCTGCCAAGAAGTGCCCCTAGAGTCCTGTTCCCCAAAGGTCCTTACTCTCTTCCTCCAAATTCAGGACCCTTCCCCCATGACCTCAGTCCACTCTTATGTCCCAAATCCGCCAGGTGTCTTTTAACTAAGAGCCAGCCTATTACCTATTTTCTTCTTATATACCTACATATGACCAATCATGTCAGTGCTAAATGTGAAACATAGAATCAATTACACATTATTGTTGTAAGTCTATGTTGTGCTTTTATGATACCTAAATCCTCATACATACCTTTCTAAAACATGTGTATTTCTAGAATTGCAACGTAGCTTGTACTTATATATGTGACTCGGTGCTCGGGCATGGCTCGGGCATGGCAGTGAATGGGTATAGAGATCGCATGAAACAGTCTTCCCACCCCTACCATCCCTTAGGCTGGCATCTCTTGTTGTAAAGGACTCTATTTGTATGTAATAATTTATATTTCTAGTACATTTGAATTAATGTTCTGAATGCCTAGGTGACCTTGACATTGATACTTTAAAAATCAGTTTATTCCTTAGAAGACAGAGAGAAGCAAAGCGCTTTATAAGATTCTTGTGAAGTGAGAAAAGGCATCTGAAGATACGAAGCATAACGCAATGCGTATTGAAGGTCCTTTGAAAAAAAGAATCTTTTATATTATTTTAGCATTCAGCTAAAACCTGGCAAAATATCTCTCTATATACCTCTGTGCAGTCTTACATTGACTGAGAAACTCAGGCAAATTTAGAACAGTCATTGTATTATATTTAAAAGCGTAATACATGCTCTATTTCAGGATGGAAAACTCAGAAAGAACTATGGCCACTTACATTGTGATAAGAGAAGGGTTGCCTACAAATGCTTTCTCAGGTATCGACTTGATGTTGTTGCTGTGAAATCCTCTAGAAAGAGAAACAAAAACAGTTTATAGAAAATAGAGTGTGGGGTAAAATGATTTAATAGCCCTCACCCCCTCTCCCTGGGGCAATAACCAGCACCTTCAGTAACTAGACGACAAGGTGAAATTCCTCTATGCATTTTGAAACATGTGCCCTCACTCACTCTCCAGGGGAAAGAGAACTCACAAGCTGTCATCTTGAAAGAGAAATAAAGGATCTGAACATAATAACTGTGCTTTATGGAACTTACAATCTAATGTTATGTAAGGAAAATGTAGCTGTTAATATCTGATAGATATTAACTTGAAACAGAGGGAACCATTTTCGGAGACAGATTATGATCACCCTCCTGACCCCATATGAAGCTAGGAGACGAGAAAACAGACTTAAACTGTAGTGGAGATTAAAGTAATCTCCTTGTGAGGACAAAATTTCCTGAGCTGAAGGAAGGTGTGCTCAGTGAGTCTGTAATAACAAACTGATTCTCTTCTGTTGACACTAATGTCTGGATGGTTGAGGGGCAGAGTCAAAGATCTGGGGTCCTGTGTGGGCCTGTGGCTGGACCAGATGAGTGGCAGTCTTTGGTCTGCCTCGCATGGACAACGATGACTTCCCAGTTAGGCCATAAGTGGGTTTTCCTGAGGCAGAAACTCCTAAAGGGGTGTGTGTGTGTGTGTGTGTGTGTGTGTGTGTGTTTTATAAACAAGCCCTGCAGTCTACCACCTTTAGCTGTGTGTTTTATTTCTCTCTGCCAGGAAAATAGGTTCTATGCTGATTTTCCTTTCCAAGTGTTAGAACATTGCTTACATTGGTTATAGGTACAATAAAAACCTAATTATAGTACGTAAAAGAAAATATATGCAATGTAATAGCTGAAGGTTAGCTCTACTTTAGCAAAATTGTGGGTTTTTAAAAATCAAGTAAGATTCACGAAGTATTTAAAGAATGTAAAGTAATGTATGTGAACTGCATTAGGCATATACATTTTATTCCAGTTTGCATAGACTTATGCACCCTAGAAATGTTTGTCAAAATGCTCAGCAAATAACTGAATTCCATTACAGTTCTGTACAAATCTATAAAGTATATAAATATTGGGGGAATATATGTTAGAAAAAGAGTATGGCTTAGAAAAATATGTATATTTTTTTCTAATATACATATATTAGAGAAATCCATTGTAAATTTTAAAAGATGAGCTGATAAACCAAAGAATTTATATGCATATATGCATAACCAGTGGACATAGACACAGTACTATAAAGGTGGGGAAGGGAGTGGGGGAAAAAGAAGAAACAGATGCAACAAAAATAAATGAATTAATTAAAAAAATAAAAACATTATCTGATATTTGCTGGTGATAGAATCAATTAAAGTATATTTCAAGTGTACTTAACTGACATTTGTATGAATTTAAATTTTTTTCTATTATGTCATATTATGTACAATGATCAAACATATTTTATTTTTTATTTATTTCTTTATTTTTTTTAGAGGGAGAGGAAGGGAGAGAGAGAGAGAGAGAGAAACATCGATGTGAGAGAGAAACATCGATCATCTGTCTCCTGCACACCCTCCATGAGGGTGCCCGCAACCCGGGCACATGCCCTGACTGGGAATTGAAATGGGACCTCTCAGTCTGTGGGATGACTCTCAGTCCACTGAGCCACAACGGCAGGGCAGTCAAACATATTTAAAAATAAATTCATGAAGAATGGAGATCTCCCATTAAGTCTGTCCTAAATACTTACAGTTCTTTAAGGTTGGAGAGTGTCCTGATTGCAGTGGGGAATTCGTCAAGGTTATTGTAATTTAAATCTCTGAAAATAAATAAACAGTGTTTTTAGTTTTTCATTGACAGGTTCATATATACTACATTTACATGGAAAGTTAACATGTTATTTCAATGGACTGGTATCACTGATGAAAATTCTCAGTCCTCTCTTGACGGAGAGAGATTTGCTGGGCTTGCTGACCACCATTTCTCAAGTATCTGCATTAAAATGGTTGTTAGATTGATCATGAGAAATTTTAAGGAGTCAAGGCTCAGTGGCACAGGGGTATTTCAAAAAGGGAGGGGACGTGTCGCTGTGCTGATGTCCAAGCGGCTGGGACACTTGGCCAGGTGTTGGCAGCTGCTGGCTGATGTGGCTCTTCGCCTGAGCCTCGCTCACTAAGCTGCCAGATAGTGTGTGCACTGCTCGGGGCTCCTGAGTCACAGGCCCTTTCTTGTTCCCTCCTCCATCCTCTCCCCACCCCCCGCTGCTTTTAGTCTTGCCTGAGAGGACATCTTGGAGAGCTGCTTTGTCCCTGGAGCCTGTGGAGTGCCTGTATCCCCCACAGCCCGAGGTCCAGGAGGACCTGCTCCTGGAGGGATTTGTAATGTGCAGGGTACTCTCAGGAAGGACATTAGGTCCAGAATTTTCTCGGGGACACAAATGGCGATTCAGATCAGAAGCATGATGTTTTCCTTGGTCTGTGAGGCAAAGCTCCGTGTTATCATTCAGGCACAGAGACGGAATAGCCAAACCATCTCAAATCACTAATTTCTCTACTTGTTCTGACACAAATGGCTTTTCAATCCCATTACTCACAAGAGCTTTATAGATTTACTCCACCTTATATCTACATCTTTGTATGAAAAAGTAATTGCCTCCTGGTCTCTGGGAATGGCAGATTTCCCAGATGACACAGAAAAACCCTTTGGTCAGGCAATCAGATGTAGTCAGCTCTTCCTCTGTGGAGAAGAACGGCTATTTAATTTTGAGAGAGAGATAATTTAACTGAGTAAAACATGAATCAAGATTCCTACTTGTCTGACACAAACCATCCTTAAGCTATACTGCAGGCAGGAAACTTGTGTCTTTGGTGGACATAAATTTTCTTCCTGTTTGTAAATCTCTCCAGATGCTCTGTTTTGATTAAAAAAGGATTGGGCCCTTATAAATTACTTGGATTTCTAGTGAGGGAAAGGAAGAAGTTGGGAGTAACCAATTGACTAATCCTCCTTAGCCCTGGGCAAGGTGAGGGGAGGGGAGATAAGACTCACATGAATTTCTCCTGAAATGTTTTATTCTATGGTGTTTATATGCAATCCTGGGTCCTCACCTCAAACATGAAGAAAAAAGAAGAAAGAAAGAAAGAAGAAAGAAAGAAGGAAAGAAAGAAAGAAAGAAAGAAAGAAAGAAAGGAAGGAAGGAAGGAAGGAAGGAAGGAAGGAAGGAAGGAAGGAAGGAAGGAAGGAAGGAAAGAAGAAGAAAGGAAGGAAGGAAGGAAGGATGGAAGGAAGGGAGGGAGGGAGGGAGGGAGGAAGGAAGGAAGGAAGGAAGGAAGGAAGGAAGGAAGGAAGGAAGGAAGGAAGGAAGGAAGGATTCTATTTATAGAAACACCCATCAAAGCCCATCTTGTTTTTGTCCCTGTAGACTTGAAAGGGACCGAAGGTGTTTTCCATTGCTAAGATCCTCCGCCCAAACCCCGTGTAGATAAGGGAGAAGTTCTCATTTTTCCTAGCAGCTGATGGAAACTGCTTGCCTATGCCATTAACCTGACATCAGAGTCCTGCCTGGACGAGTTCATCTTGGCATCTCCTTATGAGGATGATTCCTCCCTTTCTAGAGGAAATACAGAATGACTTAAGTAACCCTGGAATGAGACCTATTAGTGCTGATAGGCCTCAAGAAGACCACCCACAATAGATGGTATGGAAAGAAATTAGTGGACTCAGACCTGGTTAGAAGTTAAACTGATCATGTGCAACTTGCTAAGCTCTGTAATCAAATGAGTAATGGGCTCTAAGGCCACAAGAGGGTGGTCATTGGTCATCTCCTTCTGCAGTCCTGGTCAGAGCCAACATTGTAGAGTCAATGGCCCTGTGTGAGTTATTGCACTTGAGTATTAAAAACATGGGGGTTTAGGTTGGGGGCACAGCTGGAACTAACCTCCTCTCCCAGCACACTCAGAACCCTCACAGTCAGTCACCCCCTTTCTCCCTTATAGTATCACTCCCACTCAACAGGGCAATGAAGCAGCCCCTCACCTGGGAAAGGCTCGGCCAGGGTGTGGCCCCCAAGAAGCTCTTCTCCAAGTGGCTCTGGGCTACACTCTAGGCTACAGTCAGCAGGCTTGGCTCTATTTTTATTATAAATAACAACTCAAAACTAAATTTTTGACCTATTCTTGGAAGTAGACCATGGCAGTAAACATGGATTTCAGAGTCAAACTGAAGAAGGAAGCAAATCCCAGTTGTGCTATTGACTAGCTATGCAATGCTGGTAAAAGACTCAACAGCACTAAACCTAAGATGAATAGTAATGTCTGCTCTTATAGAATGGTTGTAGGATAATTGAAATCAAGTATGCCAAATGCTCAGTGCAATATGTGACTATAAGATATACTCAACACATGGTAGCTACCATTACTTATTAGTCTTTGGATTTGCTTTTAGTATGAAACCTTACTGTTTCCTAAGGAGACACTTGTTCATCTCAGATTGGACCTGGTGTGTACTCTCTCATTCAGTGGGGAGTGAGCCTGAATCCCAACATAGAACTGATCCCTGACAGAATGCACATTCTCAAGCAAGCAAGTCCCTGCTCAATGGAAAACACCTCCTTTAGCTTATAATGATTCTAACTAATTTATCACTCTTGTTGCATTAAGATAAAATCTGAGTTTTACTGTTTAGCTTTACAGGTGTGTGTGTGTGTGTGTAAGATTAAGCCACTGTGAATATCTGTTTAAAGCTCAGGCAATTAACCAAACCAAACTGCAAGTTTGACTTTAAGGCTATTTTGATTCCTTTAGAATACAAACAAAAACACTGAAAAAAAGGGAAACAAATAAAAGGTCAACTCACAAAGTCTCTAGGCTGTGGAGACCATCAAAGCATTTCTTTCCCAGAGAGTGGATTCTATTGTTATGGAGATGCCTGCGGGAGAATGTTATAGTCAGGACACAGAAGTTTAGGCACAACATTCTGATTGCTTAGAGCCAAAGAAATTTGCACTAAAGAATGCACTAATTATATAAAGAAATGTTTTGTTTAACTTTTTTTTAAAAAAAGGCTATCTGCTCCATTCACTGTTACCATAGATGATTCTATACCAGAGAATTTAATAGGCAGTCCCTTTACCTTTACCTTTTGGGTTTGAAAAATCAGGGAGTTTATCATAATAGGAGCAACATGATTGATAAAAGTAAATTCAGATTGTTCAGTGTGATTGTTCAGCATATTTTCCCACAAGGGGTATTTAGCATGACTTTGGGGAGTAGAGTGATAAGCAGAGATTCTGACTGTACTGACAGCTGGAGGATGGAGGAAAGGTCCCAGGTGTACTAAGCACGGTTTCTACTGAAGCTGGTAGCTTATAATGGCTACATTCTCCAGGTGGGACCACAGGTTAACAGAAACAGCAAGTGTGACTGCAGAAAATCATGATCATATTCTTTGGCTGCTCAAGGAGAGTAATTATCTTGACACAGTATTTAGTGTGTATAATTATCACCTTCAGCTCAATGGTAAGTCAGTTAGGGCAAAGCCAATGAAAGCAATGGTGTGCATAAGTGAAAAATACACCAAGTTCCAAAGAGATTTTTGGAAAATTAGCTTTAAAAAGACAGAGTGAAAAAGAATAGCTGGATCTCTGTAAATCTATTCCTTGTGGTCGACTGGTGTGCCGTAAGAATTTTTAAACATGCAATACTTGACTATTTAGTCAAGGGCACTGTCCTCTCTTCCCTAGCATTGTCAAATAAAAAAAAATAAAAATGACAACTACCAACAGAACAATAACCATCTGATGTGAATGAATCAAAATTATACCTATGTTTTGGGGGTCAGATCAGCAAAAATATATTTTTTGGTGTACTGCAGGATTTTAGTAATCAGTTTATGTGTGCCATGAGATGAAAAAAGGCTGAAAATCACTGCTCTAGCGAAAGAAAGATTAAAGCACCTATCCATCTACTGGTATGTCCATAGCATCATCTTTGTATGTGAAATCCGGTTTAGAAATTTGTTAATATCACCAAAAAATGTATTATTCTTTCAGACTAAAGTTCTTCTAATAAATATGCTTTGGGTTTATGCGAGATCTGTGTAATACTTACTGAGGATCTTCTACATGCAACATGCAGGGAATGGGGTCGAGGGGAACCTCAGTAAATGGGTAAGATGCTGGCCAGCTCTTCAAGCAATATACAGTAGCGTGCAAGAGACAGACATGCAGTCAGGCAAAGTGGAATGACTGGGGACAGAGGCGGGCAGGTGAGCAGGTGCGGCGCGAAGGGAGAAATAGTGCAGAAGAGGCCTTGGTCAAAGTTCCTCCACGAACTGACCTTACGGCCTTTCGAGCAGCTGCTGTTTCCCTGTATCAGTATCGACAGACATTATACACGTGGGGCATATTGCTACACTGTGATAAAAGACTGGTTATTTTTCAAACCATTACTTGAAGATCATTTTGATTTACTAAAATAATGAAAACTTGACCTATGAGGGGGCACAGATACATGTCGTTCATTGTCGGGTTCATTCTTGCTTCTCTGTTCTTGGCAGGGGTTTGAGAAGTACTTATGAAATAAAAAGAATAAGAAGGCATATTTCAGTTTGACCTGAATTATAAGTTAATATCAGAAATAAGGCATTTTAACTAACTTTGGTCACTGAACTAATTATACATTGTGGTGATTACTTGTACAATATCCAATGGGCAGAGATCATATCTGAGAGTGCCCAGTAGTACTTGGCACATAGCAGGTGTTCCATAAATGTTGTTTCAGTCTTTTATACAATCAGAACACTTATGAGGCATTCTGGGGAGAGATTCATGGGGTTTTCCATCTTTAAAATGTCTCTATTCAAGGTCTTACAGTGAACTTAGAAATTGTTAAAAGGGAGAAAGAGAAAAAAAAAAAAAATCAATAGAACTTACAGAACTACCAAGCTGGAGAGGTTCCCAAAGGCATAGTCTGGTATGTGATGTATTTTGTTCAGGGCCAAGGTCATGGCCTGCAGTGCTGATAAACTTCTGAAAGCCTGTACAGGGATTTCCGTCAGAGCGTTGTCATCCAGCCACAGGTGCCTCAGGGAATGCAGGCCACTGAAACAGCTGGGGGGGACATAGCTGATGTGGTTGGCATCCAGCCGCCTGAGGAAGAAAGCAAGCAAGACTGGAAAAGAGAGCAAAGCCCAGGCAAAGATGGGCCTTGCAGGAAAACCCTCCATGTGCTGATCAACAAGAGTAAAACAGGGCGGGGCTCTCCTGATCCCCTGATGCCTGGAGCATTTTGCTCTCTTGATAGCCTCTCTTTCTCACTCAAGAAGAGAGCCATTGCCTGGCCGGTGTGGTTCAGTGGTTGAGTGTTGACCCATGCACCGAGAGGTTGCCAGTTTGATTCCTGGTCAGGGCACATGCCCAGGTTGTGGGCCCGATCCCCAGTGGGGGGCATGCAGGAGGCGGCCAATTGATGTCCTCTCTTATCTTTCTCTCCCTCTCCCTTCCTCTCTCTCTCAAATCAATAGAGAAAAAAAAAAGTGAAAAAAAAAAGAAGAAAGCCATTGCTTGTTAGGGCCCTTGGCTGTAAAATTCCAGCTTTTGGTAGCTTTCATGCACGCAAGTGGCCTCCCCTGAGGTACACGGATTCAGGTGAGGATCTTTTTGTTTTCCTTTCTGACACCAAGAGAGACACCCTCTCCCCTCCCTCCCACCCTAAACCAAATACATGCCTTTGTGTTCCCCGACTGTTTTGAACATACTGAACACACTAATCCACTAGTTTGTTTATTAAGCTTTTATTAAGCTCTAGGAAAAGACTGTTTCAGTATTTGAAAGGAATGGAGTAATTTTTAAAGGCTGTTACAGTGCTTGGAGAGCCTAAAAGAACTTCTGGCTCCTTGCTCATCCGAACTGCTGGCATTGGGCAGGATGTTTGTTTTTCCTGACATTTTAAATGAATAATAAAATTAACAGCATTCCCAGCTTTTTGCTTCCTTTTCCACACACCATTTTTTTCTTTTTTTATGGGAAGAGGCATCTAAATATAGATCTGGTTAATGAGCTGTTGTAATTTCAGAGCCAGCAGAGGGAGTGCAAAACATTTATTTCCCTCTAATCCAACAAAAACGGGCTGTAATCACCATGTCTTAACTTTCCTTGTTGAAGTGACCAGACAGATACGTAATTAAACTGTTCTGTAAGGTGCATGGACAATAGAACCACCATCGCTCAGCTCTGCTTCCAACAGCTCTCACTCACTTTTGCCCAATCCATTCTTAAGGCTCACCCATTTGTTTGCATGTTTTCAAAGCTGGAATTTAAAAAAAAAAAAAAAAAAGACGACTTGCATTTTAAGCAGTCCATATATTAAGAAGGATTAGAACATCGCGAGTGGATTTTGAAAAATATTTTAGGAAGCATTTACGACTAAGCAGATGGAGGAAGCACAGGATCAGGAAACAATCCCCTGTACACCACATCGAAGCAGTTCAGAAGTAGAGAGAATTCTCTCGGTGGTGGGGAGCAGTGGAAAGTGGCTCCCTCACTTTTGGTCACAATGTCACTTCACTTGTCCCCTGGCTTTTGCTTCTGATTGAATGGGAACAAGCGACATCTTCAAGGTTGTGGGCCAAGTTTTGATAGTAATGGAGATAAGGTCACTTGGAATGAGTTCGAGTCACACTCCACTCACAAGTAAATTTCCCGTGGAACAACGGTTACAGTAGGGAGCAGAAGCCCAGCTTCCAACTATCTTAAGGTTCTGTCAACAAATGAAGCTGAAAATGTTTAGGAAAACTCAACACCACCTCTTCGTCTTTCTCTGGCAACAACCTGCTCAACCCATGTTCAAATAAAGTGTCATTTCACCAAGGGATGAGGTGATGGTTATTTTCAACTAGAAGTAAAGCACATTTGTAAACTCTCCTTTATGATTGTACTGATTAAAGAATGAACACTTCATTGAAATAATATGAGCTTCCATGTTTTAGTTGACATATTGTCCTATTACTGCCAGTTGCTCAGGCATTGAAACGCCTAGTGGCTTCTAAGGGTCCTGAAGATGACCACCCAAAAGTTGACTGCAAACCTTGGGTCTTGAGTCCTAGGTTTGTCTTCTTTGATATTTAAGGTACTACCAAATTTTCTGCTGGATCTTGAAGTGACCCAGTGATCAGTTTCCAATGTTAATAAATCCATTTCTCTGGATAGATGTTTTTCATGAATCACCCCCCTCCCCCCAAAAAAGAGATGTAATCTGGCCTCTACACTGTACATTTTAGAGCAGTTTACTATCTGAAATGAAATGAGTAAGACAGGACAATTCTCTGAACAAATACTCCCAGACCCAATACTTGGGTACCCTGAGCGCAGCACTAAAATATCTCCCTGCCCGAATAGTTTCTTCATATGAGAAGCTCCCAAAATGATGCTCCTTCCAAATGCAGTGATTGGAAGTCCATGTCCACCTGGCCTCAGTGGCTCAAACTGACTTCAGAAAGTGGTATGTTATTCACCTTGCGAGGCAGTATCTGGTTTAATCTTAACAGAAGATCCCCAGGCTAAACCTGAGCATGGAATCAATTATCCAGCCAGTCATACAGGTGGTTCTCACAGAACAAGGTTAAGACTGCGGACAAAGCAGCTGGCAGGGCATGACTTGTGCCTGTTCTGTGAGCAAACAAAGAGCTCATGTTATATCAATCTGCTCTTTTTGGGCAGCTGGACATTTTCCATTCATATGCTTGGAAAATGCAATATTTAAGCAGTGGGGTATAAGAAAAACAACAGTAGACAGAAAACGGAAATACATAAACATGTGGTTCTATAACATTGTCAGAAGAAACAAAAATAACTAAATTGAATAGCTCCATTTTTAAGTGTTTCTTTGTTATTATTTCCTCGTCATGCAAGTCACAAGGTGTGTGTGTGTGTGTGTAGACAGCTCAGAATCTGCCAATTAGTGCAGAGATTTGGGTAGAGAAGTCTTGGATCCAAGTCAGTATAGTAAATTTTGTTTTCCTTTATTGATTTTAGAGAGAGAGGAAGTGAGAGGGAGAGAGAGAAACATGAATGAGAGAGAATGTCGACTGGCTGCCTCCTGCATGCCCCCCACTGGGGATCGGGTCCACAACTTGAGCATGTGTCCTTACTGGGAATTGAACCAGCAACCTCTTGGTGCATGGGTTGAAGCTCAACCACTGAGCCATATCAGCCAGATGCAAGTCAGTATAGTAGCTCTGTGAGCATGGCCAAGTCAATAGACTCAGTTTTCACATCTGTAAAATGGGGAAAACACTTCTCTATCTTATAGGGTTGCTTATGATTAAATAAAATAATACAATAGAGCTTTGTAAACTGTGATGCACCTTAATGATCTTAAAGTATTATAACTTGAAGCTGGTTAACAGTTTGTGCTTTTGTCTTTTGACCATCAAAACAATTCAGAAAGGAAAATAAAAGGTACACTCGCCTGGCCAGTGTGGCTCAGTGGATTGAGCATTGTTTCATTGCTGAGAGGTCCCAGTTCCATTCCCGGTCAGGGCACATGCCTGGTTTCGGGCTCAGTCCCCAGAAGGGGGCATGCAGAAGGCAGCTGATCAATGTTTCCCTCTCACATCGATGTTTTTTTCTCTCTCTCACTTCCTATCTCTCTAAAAAATCAACAAAAACATATATTTTTAAAAAAGGTAAACTCAAATGTTGCTTTAGTCAAAAGTAGTTAAAATAGATGCTAGGTTGTTAGTTCTGAGAAATGCAGACGACTTCTTTCACCTCTCATAACAGAAATAATTAAGAGGTTACTGCCATCATACTTAAGGGAAGTCACCCTTATTTTTCAGCCTTCAGTATTATCATTATGTGTGTGTGTGTGTGTGTGTGTGTGTGTGTGTGTGAGTGTTTTGTTCCTGATACATTACTGACTATATCATCTTCTTTCTAAAGGCAAAGGAGATATGGTGACATGTGATAGATGTCACATTCTCGGAGAAAGTTCCTACAAGTGATGGCATTTAAGTATCTATCCATCAATATGTGATAGAGGCAGCAAAAAACCTGCTTGCAGTTAGACGCTGCAAACCCAAACACTTTAACAATGGGAGTGGCTGTAGGAAGATCACTCCTAGATGGAAAGATGAGTGCCTGAAAGAAGTATGGAAACGGAGAGGAAAGTGATGCTAAGTAAGCAAGCCTGACGGAACGCGGGACTAGCCTGATGTGGCCGGAGGAGGTAAGGAAGCTATGAGGACTCCATGTTCCATCTCGGGCCACTGGGTGGATGGAGTCCATGTAAGAGCAGGGACCATTGTTACCGGGTATTATATAGGCTAAAAATAAAACAGAACTGCATGTGCGCCATGACTGTAGTACTTTAATATCAATGTATCCTATGTGATGAAGAGCTAGGAAGGTAACAAGCAAAGAAAAAAAAAATCAATCTTTTATGTCAGGCAATGACAAAAAACAAAAGCCCTCATTTTTAACATTCTGTCTGAATTTTTTTCCATAGTGTTTTCATGCATAAAAGGTTAATTGTACAAATCTTCTTTTTTAAAAGAAATATTTTGCCAATCTGCTCCATACCCTTGAAAGGAATTTTTTATTTCTAAAGGCATTATTGTAGGGATTAGAGAATCTATGACCTCATTCTTGTTATTGTTGTTCCAGAAGAATAATCCTTTACATATATCTTTTATATGATACTTGGCCAATGTATCACACAAACTTATGTCTTTGTTTGAGAATGTCTTTGATGAGCCATTAACTACAAGAAAGAAAGCGTTAGTCAAAAGATAAGCCATTGATCTTGGCTGATTTCATATCTGAGATGACTGCAATAATGTCAATTATTAACATGGGTGACTCAAGGAAAAAAAAAGCCAAGGTGTGAAGAATGCTGCAGCTGCAGGTATAATAGAATGTGAGGGTTCTTTCAATAAATGAGGCTTCTTTTCAACTATGAATCATGGCATCTTCATGACTGACATTGCTATTTTATATTTGGATGACCATTTTTCTTCATAAGTTTTAAAGAAATGACCAACTCTCTTGTACATTCATTTGTACATTTGGTGAGACCATTTTGAGCAATTCAAGAATAGTCAAAAGACCACAGTGATTTAGTTCATTTATAAAATATTAAGAAATAAAAG